TCCCAAAGCTGTTATGAAGGCACAAAGCATGACTAGAACACCTGAGTTTCAAACACACAGACAAAAGCAAAAAATAGCGGAATGAAATAGCACTTGTGTGTGTATGTGTGATTTTTGTCATGCATTTATGTGAACTTGTAGACAATATAATGATTCATTAATCTGTAACCCACAGACAAACATTTAATTAGTATCACTGATAGAGACTATATATGAGTTCATTTAGTTGAAGATCTGACATTACAGTATTCAGGACAAATAAACTCCATCTACCTCCTCAGCCAGCAAAGAGTCCACACAGATGGTACCCGATAACCTGATATCATACGGTTAATTACTCATCTTGCCCTCCTCCCCCGAGTCTCAAGTGGCTTTCAGAACCCAGAGACACTCCCCACTGAATCATTCTCTCCAGGAGCAGGTTTTCAGTATCTTCACTTTTACTTTTAGCTGGGTAATTTCAGCCAACCTATCTGCCTGCTCATTCCTGAACAGGCTCTATATAGCCGCAACATTCACGTTTTGTTTGTGTTTATTACACTGTGAAGCTCGCTGATCTACTTTTCGTTCAGTTTTACATTATTCAATGATACGTGACCTTTGACACTTGTGACCTCTAAAAAACCTAACTCCACCTTCCTGAGCATGTGTGGCTGAGATTCTATCCACCCACTGGAATTTCCCAGGTACCACCTCAACCTCATCCTGGATGTTGTAATGTTATATGCCAAGCTCTCCTCAGTCATCCTTCTACCACATGATTTTGCAATGAGGCCCCATCCACTCTTTCTGTCCCTGGCCACTGACCCATCAGTGTATATAATCACATCTTCTGGTATAGAGTTGTCCTCTTCTCAGCTCTTGAATCTCTGGATCTGCCCATCCCACCATCCATTCCCATCCCAAAATAATTACCATCTTGTGCAGCTCTTCTCTGCCCTGCAGTACTTTTACCCATTCTTCTCTGCCCTGCAGTACTTTTACCCATTCTTCTCTGCCCTGCAGTACTTTTACCCATTCTTCTCTGCCCTGCAGTACTTTTCCCCATTCTTCTCTGCCCTGCAGTACTTTTACCCATTCTTCTCTGCCCTGCAGTACTTTTACCCAATCTTCTCTGCCCCGCAGTACTTTTACCCATTCTTCTCCTCAGCTAATCTCTTTAACATTGCAGACAATGCTGATATTTTTTTAGGGCTGTGCCATCTATGATCTTCCCTCTCTAGTCTGTTACCCTTCACGGTGTCCAATTCCCTTTGAAGGATATGTTCTGCATTACTTAAAACTCTAAAATAGTATTCAGCTTGCAAATAACTATTCTCTAATTAATAATCCAAACAGAACACATAAACTTTATTGAATGAGTCCTCTAATTAGCATCCCACTGACAGACGTCTAAAAATAATTCCCCAATGAAAGACAAATAAAAACTTCACTAATTAGTATCCCACAGATAAGCTGATTTAGACAAATCCTCAAATTAGTGTCCAACAGACATGCATCTAAATATTCTCTCATTAATTACCACATACAGATATCCAAACAAGTTTTTTTATTAGTATCCAACAGACAAACAAACATCTAAAGAACTGTCTAATTGATTTCCCACAGACAGCTACATTAGTTGGCTTTACAAAAAAGTCACTTAAGCTCTAAAGTCTTTGTTTTGATAAGATGGCATTTGAACAATGAGATCTCTGAAGAATTGTGTAGTTGTATGAAAAGTAATACTTCAGTTTGACATATCTGGAATAGGAATTCCCATATGTGCTTATAACATAATGTAAACTGACAAATGACAACCCTGAAAATGAACTAAAATGTAAATCGGTAAAGCTGCCTTTAGGTAGCTTTGGACAAAATGACATGCAGTAGAACCTTAGGATATGAGTGTGCTTAGATATAGGTTCTTCAGGATATGAGGTCATGCTAGCCACCAATAGTGTTTGCCCCTGAATATGAGGTTAAATGCAGGATGTCAGCTGGATATATGAGAACTCTTGGCATATCCCAACAGCAAATTGATAACTTTAAAAAATGGATTAGGTCATGTTAACACAGCTGAAGGAGGACATAAGCCAGTCGACAAGGCATCTGATGATGATGAACTGTGGCATCATGGTTGGAAGTACCCCATTTTTCCAGCTGCAGCAAAAACAGTGCCACACATTCTCCTCATTAATGAAACGAAAAACACCATTTTGGTTTTGATTTTCAGAGGGCTGGAATGTAATGATAAGAAGAACTCCACAGGGGAGCATGTACAGCAGGGGTCCACCGATCATCAGTAGAAAGATCCCTCGTCGATGACTGTTTCGGCCCGTTACCATCCTATACAATCTCGGAAGGTGGGCCGACCTGGGTCATGACTCCCAGGCCTCGATCTTCCTCTGCTGCACATTACTGGATGTTCTCGGACAGGGACAAGACGATATGGTGATTTGTAACAGGTGTTGTGAGAATGTTTGATATTGTCGCTGCGGTAGCAAATTAGATCAGTTGACTACCTTACGACCATGGTGACAAGCTTTCGGTGGTTAATCGGACAAGAAGTATTTACATTAATTTTAATTGGAAAAATACTCTCAGGATAAGAATTATTCACCATACGAGCTCATTCATGGAACAGATTCAATTCACATTGTGAAGTTCTGCTGTGTGAAGCTGGAAGTAAAGAGGATGGGCGTCACTGCACCAGGTTGTAACACACAAGGCTCGATCTCTCTCTGCAGACTGGCTAGCCATCTGCCAGGAGCATCACAGAAAGCCCCAGATTTGTAACTCCAGCAATAATCCCCAGGACTATCCTTCTAAACTGCTGCTGTGAACTAAATGGCACAGTTGATGAAACAAATCCATGACTTCCAGAGTGCAAGGTAAATGGCTTGACCACTTAAGAGTCACACAGAGACTTTTAAAAAGTTCTCAATAAGGTATCCCACAGACATCTAATAACTACTGAGGACGACAATGTTTCTGTTAGTCATAGCTAAGAACTAAACTGTTAGTGTAACTTAAAGGGGCATTTTTAAAAAAAAACTATTCTGTGTCTAATATTCGTCCTAGATCTAAGTTGACCAAAAAAGAAAGGGAATATTCTGTGTTAATTTTGTATAGTGAAAGACTTCCATTTACATGCCTTCCTAATGCACAAACACAAACACTATGACCTGAAAAGATGCCAATAAGGCTAGGATAACCATACACTCCAGCTAATGATAATAATCTTCATGATGTCTCTTACTCTAGAACAACGTCTTTATTTTTTGTTTAAGGTAATATCTTCTTCGCGTTTACCAGCTGTACACTCTGACCGAAAGTTCTGGTTGTTCGTCCACTTTTGAACTGCAGTCTTGCTCCAGAACCTGAGTGTTGAGTGTGCATCAGTTTTACAGATCTTATTCACTTGAGTGCAGACTGTTGGTTCCTTGCCTCTCAGGCAGACACACTCTGACTTCAAAGGCAGTTTAAGGTAATATAAATTAGATCTTTTAACTCTGACAAGTTAAAATTAGAATATTATTTTCAAGTGCCTTGCCAACTGGCATGGGTGATCATAACACTCCACATCTTTCAGTCACCAACATCATGTATCATTCTGTGTTCTGACACCTTTCCATGTCAAGAAGGAAGTCTATCAAGAATGTTCCCTCATTGTCTTCATACTGTAACCTGTATTTCACCAGTGTAACCAAAAAATATATCTATTATACATATGTTTAGCTGCCTTTATTTCTTGGCCACTTTTGAAATGTTTAGAGGATTCACAGAAGTTGTCCATGTAACTTACAGGACTCTTCTGTATAATACAAGCGCTGATCAATAGGTTCCAGTCCTGAACTTCTTATTTTCATTTACTTTCTTATTTGATCTAAGATTCTCTAAACACATGATCAACAGCTTTCACACAACCTAATATTCAATAATACAATCAAACCTCCTCTCACATTTCAAAATCTCTCTCACTCAAAGACACTCAATAAAAGTAATGACTCTACACACATGAAAGAGTACCCATGACACTGAGAGATATTATTTTGGGTAATAAAAGTGATTTTTTTTTTTGTTGTTGTCATTGTGACATCATAATAAACTTGTGACATCATTTTGCTCTCTGTGGCTGTCCACAAAATCCCCATATTCTTTGCTCTCTCTGTATTTAGTGAAAACTTTCCTTCATATTAAAGAAAAAAAAAAATGATTCCACATATGTAAAAATCCATATTTTTAGTGAATTGGGGACCTCTAGCAGGCTAGCCTTCTGCCAATAAATATCCCCCACACCCCCCCCCCCCCCCACCCCCCCCCCCCCCCCCCCCCCCCCACCCCCCCCCCCCCCCCCCGACCCCCCCCCCCCCCCCCCCCCCTACCCCCCCCCCCCCCCCCCCCCCCCCCCCCCCCCACAATATTTTTATACAAATCGACCAAGACTCAAAATTTCTTCTGTTTCTTCTTCTCTTCCTCTAGCTTCTTAGTTCAGAGTTTCAGAGAAATGTAACAATGCATTTATTTTAATGTAATTAAAAACAAAACAAAAAGAATGTAACTCTTTTAAGATTGTTATTAGGCAAAAGAGACAAACAGGTGTTTGGCAAGTTGTGTTGTGGTTTACAGCTAGGCTAGGCTATAACATCTGCCCCTTTCAGCTAAACACATCCCACTTCTGCAAATCCCTAATTAGCTGCTTTTTACAAAAAGTTTGTTAGGGGGCAGTGAGGCACCCCCCCCCCCCCCACCCCACTCTTTCAAAGAAGCCCCAGAAACCCCTACAGGAAATAACAGAATGCATTTGTAAGCAGCAATACAATAAATTCAACTTTGCTCACGTTCATTACCAAATGTAAAACAACAGCTAACCTTATGTAATTTTCCAGGAAAAAACAGCACACACACACAGACATTCACACGCAAAAAAAAAAAAGAGAGAGAGAGAAGAAGTAATTAGTTGTAGCAATTTACAGACACTTGTTTTCTATCATAAAAGTAAGACCCAAAGACCTTACCTTGCAAAATTCCCAATGCGGCATATACCCCTAGTCTCATGTTTCTGTGGTCCACATTTGAACTGATATTAGGGTTTCGAGCATCATTGCTCCACTGGCTGAGCCAGACATTGGAATAGATGCTTGAGGCATTGTAGAAGACAAAGAAGATAATAATAGCAATGCTCAGCATGATGCCAACAGCACGGATGTAGGCCATGTACACATTCAGTTTAACCTGTGAACAAGTACAAAATAACATTAAATACAAAACAACATTAAATATGGCATTGTATAAATTATAACATCATATTTGCTTTCATTTGTGAACTTACAAGAAGGTGGTGGTAAGTCTTTACCCTGACTATGAAAGAGTACTGTTTATTGCCATTACTGCTTAAATGTATAACTTTTGTACTGTAGGCAGAAGGGCTTTGAGCCTGAGGATTTAGGGCCATATGGCTAGGGCTTTGCAGGTTAGTATTTTATGTTTTCCCTTTAGGGCCCCCCTAAAAATTGCCTAACCTTGTATAGGGTTTCTGGGTCTCCTGCATCAGAGCCCAGTGCTGTTAACCTTTCAGGAAGCCACTCCTATGAAAGAGCAGCAGATGCAAAATGAAACAAGGCACACTGAAAACATCATGCATTTGCACTGAATGTGTTCAGCACATATCTGTCCCTTCAACATACACATTTCCATACAATTCTTTATAAAAAAAATGTTTGATAATAATTAATCTTTGACACAGATTGTGTGTCATGGGAGTAAAGCATGGCGAAGTATGTCTATGCTGCCTTTGAGCAGAGAAAGGAGAATTTATAATCAGCTCCTCATTAGTAGAGTGGCTGCTGCATCAGAAGACTGAGCATGCATGGGAATGCCGTGCAGTGATATCGACTGTGATTACACAGTCCTCAGAGAATGAGAGAAATGGTCACCACCACAAATTTTAGGAAGAACCTCACATTTAAATTTCCCAGCTGGAACCTACAGGAAAACAGAAAAGCTGAGACACCATAGGTAAGACAACTATATTTAGTGGATGCTCAACAGGTTAAAAACATTAGAACAGTTAAAGAAGACAATCAAAACTTGAATCAGCTATCAGCAGCCAGTGCATCCATGATGTTTAAATGGACAACAAATAATTTGGTGGACAAATAATGACGATAAGTTTTATTCTGACAATCATTTTAAGAAAAGACAATCTGAACAGTTTACATTATTGGTTTCTCATTCTTTTTCTGTTTTAAACCTCAGTATGAACTGGCTTGCTTTTATCTTTCAGAAATTTGTTTTTCAGCAGATAAATTGAAAAAGAAAAAAAATGACGATGAGTTTATTCTGACAACTGGAAAATAATTCTGAGTTTTATTCAGAAAATTTTGGGGAGACAAAAAATCTAAATAGTTTACATTTTCAGTTTCTCATACTTTTCCTGTTTCCATTGTCTCAGCTTGAACTAGCTTGCTTTCATCTTTCAGAGGCAGCTTTTCATCCTTCTCTTTCACATCTGATTTTGTGTATCTTCTCCTCAAAGTCGGTGACGTGGGGGTGACAAGAGAGGATCTGCTAGTTCTTTCAGACTGCAGAAGAATCTGATCACTGTTGGACAACTGCCTGTAAAAAAGATGATAAAAGTACTTTATCACAGGTGTTTGATAAATTGTGGATGTGACAAAAAAAATAATACACAGATGTTAATTTAGAATGGCCAGGTCCTCAGAAGAGTTTCTGTGTCAATAAAAGAACTACCAAAGCTCTACAATAATTTTGATTTGGAGATAGTTCATTTAAAATTTAAAAAAAAACTGTGAAAACTGAGTAAGCCCTTTTGCCATGTGAACGCTAAAAAAAAATATTTGATAATGAATCTGCAAGAATTTCCTGGAAATTTGTTTTTAAGCCAGCTATTTCCCACAGGTCACAAACAAAATTTTTTAAAATGTATTAATCTACATTTAAATATTTTTTTTTTTAAATCTCAAAAGATATGAAGCAATAAAAGGAATAAATTCTCCTGGGCATATAAAAACAAAATGTGTTGGGTGACTCATGCTGTGACACCACTGTTGCCTGTTGATTCGGGTTTATCAACATTGTTTATGTGAATTCTTGTACAGGCTTGACTGACCAGGGTGTTGACATGGCCTGAGTCAATATTTTGACTCTGTCTTGACTTAGGGCTGGAGTTGACATGGCCTGAGTCAATATTTTGACTCTGTCTTGACTTAGGGCCGGAGTTGACATGGCTGTTATGTTGTCTGAAAATGGCTGCTGGGAATTTTTCCTGTCAGATTCTCATCCAAAAAGCAGCCCTTTGAGTCACTGGGTGTTAATCTTTCAGAAAACAATCTTGGAGGGGTGCAAATAACAAGCCTGCTGATGCTCTACAGAAGACCAGTAGGGACAATGACCACAGATTTCAGTAATAGCTGAAATAAAGAGAATGTAAGCACTGACTCATTAAAAAAACATAGACTTGCAACTCTACACACCAACACTGTTTAGTGTCACAAATAAGTTACAGTATATGAAGCACTAGAATCCAAAATAATTATGTTTTTACATTTCAAATACAATAAATGGAGAGAAAAAAATGGGAAACATTCAGCATTGCAACAACACAATCACAATTGATAAAATGGGTGTTGCAGCAATATAGCTTTCATCAGAAACAAACACAAAATGAAAGTCATTGGAAGAATTATATTGCCAATTCTATTATTTATAATTGTGTTCCTGTAAAATTACATTCATCTTTTTTACTATTTCATTTTACTGATTACATTTTACAGCTTTTATATTGCATGCACATTCATTTTACAAATCTGACTAATTTGTAAGCAGTCTGTTGGTTCTTCACCTCTCGGGCAAGATGCAATCCGACTTTGAAGGAAACACCCCTAATAAGTTGCACTTTATGATGTGCTAGTTAGGGGGTAGCTGGTATACTCTTTCCTACCCTGAAATAGGACCCAAGGACCCATACAGATATTTTAAATGCATAATCACCTCTCTAATGTATGTCTACTTTCCGAAGTGCTCTCCAATATGTTTATCATCCCATCTTTCAGGCTCAACACTGAAAAAAAAAAAAAAAAAGAGTCAAAACAATGTTGATTTTAGCAGTTATATAAATACCAATCATTTTGCTGTTCATGTACAAGAAATTTAAGGTAGGGACTCAGAGGAACTTTGCCCATGTAGATAGGCAACCTAGAATACCGAACACATGCTGCAAATATGCTCTTTACATGAAGCACAAAGATCACAGCTCTGGCCAACTGGCATTTCAGTGGGGAAACCAAAATGTTAGGATAAGTGGAAGACATGCATCACCCCAACAGCCTTGAAAGAGGCCTGTGACCTTCATCTTTAAAAAACTTTGCCCATGTGGACAGGCATCCTAGAAGACCGAACATATGCTGCAGATATGCTCCGTACTTGCAGCAGTAAGATCATAGATCTTTCCAGTTGGCACTTCGATAGTGGAAACCAAGATGTTTGGATCAGTGGAGCACATGTGCTGCCCCACAGCCTTGAAAGAGATAGGTGGACTTCTCATTTGAAAGGTGGGAAGAACAAAAAGAAGAATATTATAGTTTCCTGTAACTTACACGCTATTAGAATTGATTTTATATTCATCTAACCTGGCATCTTTGTGTGGCTACATATGAGTTTCACAGCCCCTGTGAAGCAAGTGAGTAATTCAGAAACTTGAAAAGATCATCACAGCCTGGAGTGTATCATGCAGAAGGAAATGACAATGAGATGCAAAGGACACGCAACACTCAAGAGGACAGACAAAATGGACATATAATCTGCTAGTAGTATACTGGGCTTTGAACTCTGCACTGGCTGCTGAAGATATGGACAAAGCTCTTATAAGACGGTCTCCATATGATGGTATACTTTATTTAGTCTTAATATTTCAGCTTAGTATATTGTATATTCTGCTGCAGTTAATGTATCACCTTATCTGCTATTCTCTACTCATTTTCAAACAAGTAATCCTCATTTACACATTGATTTGTCTAAAACTTATGATACTTCATAACAATGATATCTGTACCATTTTAGCTCTTTCTGTACCATAGGACAGTTATATTAGATATAGATTTACACATTTTATGTTCCTTGGTTTTGAAAAAGTTAATGATAACACTGATAATTCATCTTCTGCATTTGTGCTTAACACTTTCAGTCTCAGGAACGCATCATGTGTTATAGATTCCTACATAGAATATCAAAGAATGCTAGATGCCCTGATTTTACATCTCTCTTTACCATCCCTTGGGCCCCTGATGCCTAACTCCCTGGGACTGAAAGAGTTAAAAGGGTGGTTTGCACACTGTGCTGTAGTTTTACAGCTAGGTTTCAATACCTGTGCCCTTTGACCCAACACATCTGATTTCAGGAAATCCATAATTAGCCACCTTCTAAACACAGGGTTCTATTCTTTATTTTCTCCCCAAGCACCCAGAACTTATATGGGGATGACCATAACTAAAATTATTTTTATTAATGTGTGGCGTACTAATATTTACACTCTGGCTTATAGATAAGTCAGGCACAGATTTTATGACTTAGTACACTGAAATTACATTCTACCTGATTTTGATCTGTTTACTATTGTATTAAAAAAAAAATCCTATCTATAGTTAGATTAACGACAAAAAATATGTAAGCAAAGTTTAAAAACTTCAAAAATAACTTCTGAAGTGTGAGGTCATTATAATTTTTTTTTTAAATATGTGAATAAAAACAATTTAAAAAAAGAAAACATAAATTCCTTAATTAGGATAACAGGTTACTGGCTGTATAATGTATATGATTCTTAAACCAGTTAGCAATTGATGGGCAACGTGAACAGATAAACCAGTCTTATTTTTTGTGTTCACTGGCTGTAAACTCCAGCAAGATGTTCTGGTTGTTCATCCACTTCTAGACTTTGGTCTTAATCCGGGACTTGAGCTTTACATGAAAATTTATTTTACAGATCTGGCTTATGTGTATGCAGGCTATTGGTTCCATGCTTCTCAGGTAGATGCGCTCCAAATTTGAGGGAAATGCAGAGAACAATTTTAAGCAACAGTGAATGCACATTCTGAATGACAATGGCTGTTAAAACCCCAACTCAAAGTATTCTTACCCTCAATATTGCTGCTTAAGTTTCCTACAAAAACAGAACAAATAATTTCTTTTCTCTTGAACACAAACAACCAGTGCAAACACAAACTGTGACTTATTAGAAAGTATGGTAACTTCAACCTGCCGTCATGGAATGAATAAGGTAATATCCAAAAGCTGATAACATGGCAGACAACTTTGCCCCAACTTACCACAGGTAAAGTTGTTTTATGGTCATTGAAAACATGAAAGAAATATAAACAAATTGCTTGGAAGGTGTATTATATTTATATATAGCAACAATTGTTAACTACAGAGGTAATTTGTGGAAGGCAGGACAAACTTTAATTTTCCAAGAATAAGTTAAAGACTGCTTGCAAAGTTAGATAAATCATATGATTTTGGACTTTTCTGTTTTCTGGCTATAAGCCAGCAGATAATAAGTCTTTGAGCTATGGATCTCCGACACTCTCCCTCTAACTGTATATTCTCTCAGACAGTTGTTTGTTCATCTCTTATTGTTATTTTCCCATTTGTCTGGCTGCTTACCTAACGTAACTATATGTAATGAAGGGAATTCCCCGGGAGGTTCAAGGGGTTTCCTGAGTGGTATTACAGGTCAGTAGGAAATAGGTAAAGCATGGGAAGTGATATTCATGTGTGACATTGAACAGTGACAAGACCAAATCCTGTTGGAAGGTAACAAGGGGTTTGAAGGACAAATGAGATAGCGACAGATGTTGTTTGATGGTGTGAGAGGCAAGTGGTTTCTTATGGAATGACTAAAGTAAACGATGACTGAGAGCTGAGGGAACAAGGACTTGGAACGCCAGGAATGTCCGATGAGAACTGATTCTGAATTGTGATGCCCAGTAACTGTGAACTGTGTGGTGCTGTGGTTTAGATGTGAAATCCCAGGCTGAATGAACTTTTTGTAATGAAAGGTAATTGCCTCTTTGTTTAGTTGTAATCCTATCATGGCCGTTACTCCAGAGCAAGTTGTAAACGACCAGGAACAGTTTAAGACAACAAAGGATTTACTCTTTTGTTAAACTACAAAAAATTATGTTGAAGTCATCGTTGGGTTTTGATTGTACCTATGTGTGTCCATTTCTACATCATAACAGAGGAGATACAGAGTTTATATCAGCATAGACTGAGCCAGAGTAACAACAGAGCCACAAACATTGCAGTTCATCTCTTGATATCATCTTTCCATTTGTATTGCTGCCTACCTCTTGCTCACTTGCCTTCAACATTTTTTCATCAGTATATGTCTTTTAATGAAACCATAATGTTTGACTATCCTTTTTTTTTTAAGTATCTCTCATTTTTTTCCCAATCACTTCAGAATCTTTGTCTCTAAAAAAATTCCCTCCCCATAAAATATATATATATATCCACATCTCCCAGTGAATCACAACAAGCATTGATGTAGAGACCAAGTAAGAATCAAGAGAGAAGCCAACCAAACAAACAATGGAAAGAGAAAATTTCCTGGGCATTTAATATGTGGGAGAATCAAATGAAAACCTTAAAAATGTGACAAATTTTAATAACCATCCCAGTGTCTTGTAGCTTGTCAATATTACTGTTAAGGATGTCAAGAGTGTTAAGCACCCAGCATCATGGTGCAAACACATTGATGTCATAATGGCAGTTCAAAGATGGCCACCCCACTTCTAACATGCACTAACAAGGAGCAGCATTCTGTTATCCATTCTGTGATCAGTGAAAGAGTGGAACCTATAGAAATTCATCGGCGAATGAAGATCCAGTTTGGTGATGCATGCCTGTCAGTCCAGCAAGTGTATGAGTGCAGGAGAAATTTCAAAATGGTGTGACTTCTCAGAGAGACTATTCACTACTCAGTGTGTCTGATCCGGGTGCAAAGCCCACTCGTATATAAGATAAATCAACAGGCACTCTTCCACAGTTTACACTTTACCTTGTGCCAATATAGTCTTTTCATGCAAGTACACAACAGATCTATCAGTGACAAACATAATTTTCTTGCAACAAAGATATAACACTTAGGTGACTTTCCCTAGTACTAATGAATTGATGTGAATTCCCAAAGAATTCAGGACAAAAGTGCTGATCAGCGTGGCTCACCTTCAGAGTCTTGTAATGTGTCATCTTCATTGTTCAACCCAGTCAGATAGTTCCTCAAGAACTCGGCAAATGCTCCATTGTGCTTCAGGAGTTGGGTAAAGGAGCCAGTCTCAGAAACAGTTCCATTGACAAGCACAATTATCTTGTCTACCTGAGGCAGGAAGCTGATTCCATGGGTAACCAGGATTCGTGTCTGGAGGCAATAAAGACTTTTTATTGTTAAAATGAAAATGTTTATACAGAAGTTTAAGTCAAGAGGATCAACTTCAGTGCACCGAGCTTTATCCGCTGGCTGTCATTGGGAGTGCTAAATATAACCTACAGGTTGAACTGAGATTCTGGGACATGAGCCTGGGCAATTCTCACCCCAATGGTGGCATTTTGTGTCACTTGGAGTTTATTGCTCGTTGTGCGATGCTGCTGATGTTGAACATCAGTCAGTCAGTCAGCTTTGTTTGTAGTAGCACAGACAATACCGACATGCATGCTGGCCCAAAGGGCTGGGGTTAGAATTCACACTTGAGTAGATTGTTATAAAAGTTCCCAGGTCAATCCAGCATAAAATGGATCACAACAGGAATGACTTGGTTAGAAAAAGGCTAGTGTAAAGAAATAGTTATTGCAGGAAAAAAAACTCACTGACCTTGTCTTTCAGCAGTCCATTTGGTCCAATGACCTGGTCAAATAAATGCTTTCCAACATGAGAATCAACAGCGGACAGAGGGTCGTCCAGCAAGTAAATGTCAGAATTCTGGTACACGGCTCTTGCAAGCGACACCCTCTGTTTCTGACCTCCAGATAAATTGATTCCCTGCATTTGAATGTACATTGTTTTATATTCCTCCAGTGTATAGGAACATGTGCATGCTTTACAAAATACATATTTGTCAAATTGGCACATTCAGAAGGTCAGTAAAGCCGATAAAGTGTGATGGTTATAATCACTGAAATAGTCAACATGACTGCATGACACATATATCTTAATTTCTGATCAAAAAAGGCAGAAAGAAACAAAAGATATTTAAAAATAACACACGTTTGGTACATGACATTAGTAAACAAAGTAGTTAATCAACAACCAATATATCACAATGCAAAACCCAAGCTGAGGATTTCATGTGAAATGTTTTTTTTTTCATTTTGTGCTCTTTTTGTGTTGTTGACTGAACTAAAATGGCAGGCAGCTGATTGCAATACTGTGAGCTGTAAATTTCACATGGAATCTCTGTTATGTTTTGCTTGTTGCATGTTATTAACTGCATTAAAATGGCGGGTGGTCAATTATGTTTAGAATGGTGTGTACTTTTGTGAGTGCAATGTTGGTTTTCATGATTGACCCCATGTGCCAATAGTGAACTGCAATTCTGGTTGTGGGACCATTAGTACTGGCACGTCTGACAGCTGCCTTCTGCATATTTTACTTTTGCATGTGCAAGCTTCCAGGTTTTGCTAGCACTGACAAGTTTAGAGTTGGATCTCAATAATCTCTCTCTCCCTCTCTCTTTCTCTCTCTTTTTTATTTTTTTAATCTAAACTGACAAAGATATGATGCATAAAATATTCTTTAACATGTGAAATGATCCTTTATCTTAAGATAATCTTCACTGAACTTTGTACATCTTCCATTCGCTGCTATCAAGGTACAGAAATACTTGAAAACATCACACACATTTAACCACTATTAACTAGAGTTTAAAATATCTGTTTTCTGTGGGTTTTTTTGTACACATTTTAAAGAGAAAACAGTGCTGAGACATTTTTGTTGGAATATTAAATGTAAACTTTATAAAGTTCTTAAGAATGGACTAAATGTAATAGTACATAGCAAATAAAAATGCCCTGTGTGGTTTCCAGGGCCCTATTATGAGGGGAAGAATAGACCCATTGTACTGATAACATACCATGCCATAAAAGTTGACTCATTAGGGGTTTTCCTTCAAGGAAAAAAAACAGTCTGCATAAATATAAGCCAGATCTGTAAAACAGATGTGTATGCAAAACTCAGGTTCTGGGAAAAATACTAAGTTCAGAAGTGGACAAACAACCAGAACTTTCTGCTGGAGTTTACAGATGGTGAACATGAAAAAGAAGAAGAACTGCATCTAAATGTTCATAGTGTCACCTTTTCACCAATTTCTGTGTTATCTCCCGCTGGCAGGACATCTAGGTCTGGCTGTAAGGCACAAGCCTGTATTACCCTGTCATACTTGTCCTGGTTCAGGCCTTTGCTGAAGAGGATGTTGTTCTGTAATGTATCATTTTGTATCCAGGCTTGCTGGGCAACATATGACACTGAGCCCTGGTAGAGGAGACAGGAAAAGCAAGGAATCAGTCAGGAAAATATAACAAAACACTTGCATCTTCTTGATAACCCATTATTTATTAGTTCACCTAAAATGATTGATGTGCAGATCTACAATATCTGGTCTTAATCATGTAGAGATTATGCAATGTCAAACATACACTACTAGTTCTTTTAATTACTTTTTTTTCCCCACAATATTATTCTTTGCATTTCATTCACACTGTTTAACTATTTGTATGTGTTTTATTTATTTATCTTAATTATAATTTTTTTTATTAAAAGATGCTAAACCAAATACACTTAATTTCTAGACACCTCTTTTCCAGAACAAAACAATAAGAAACCTCGCTGAATTTAAAAAAAAAAAATTAATTTTAAACTGTTTATTTGTGTCTGGAAATTAAATAATTTTGACACATTGTTTTTTTCTGATTTTCATTTCTTAAAGAAACAACTGCCTGCCATCAATACAAGGATTTTTCAACTAAGGTTTTCTATGGGTTAGAGGAGTCAGTCTTAAACTGACCCTCATTACTCGCTTCTGATAACATGCATGAAGAATTACAATGTTACTATTTTTGCTTCCTGTATGAGTCCCAATAACCCTTGGGCACCTGCTAGGTAATTGCTACTCTAGCTTTCATAATAAGTAGTACTACTTTGTTTTTTCAAGAAGCTAGCAGAAATCTTCAGCCCAAGTACTGGGATGTCAGTTCTTAACTCAAAATTAGAGTCAGAGTCTGTTGATAATGAAATACATAAAACCTGGGAGGAAATACTGAAATCCTATGCTCTAGTTGTGGAAGACTGTTCTTAACATAAGCAGGTCTTGTTTGCCACATTAGCCATCGTCATGGGCTGTGATTCCCATGCCTCCCTATAGTACAATATAGGAAAGGTGCCAACAACAACATCCTAAAATGCATCTCAGCAGTACTAGTTCTTCCCCGTGTAAGTTCTGGGGCCCCATTGTGAGGAAAACAAGAACAGACTCAAGCCTCCTAAATAAGTATGTTGTAAAAGTCGATTAACTGGGAGCTTACTTCAAAGTCAGTGCATCTGCCTAAGAGGCAAGGAACCAACCGTCTGCATATAAATAAGTCAGATATGTAAAACAGATGTGCAGGCAACACTTAGGTTCTGGAACAAGACTGAAGTCCAGAGGTGGATGAACAACCAGAACTTTCCGCCGGAGTTTACAGATATGAAAACATAAAAGAATAAGGAGTACCAGTTCTGCACACACTGCTTTATTTTGGGCTTGAAAAAAAAAATTTTAAAAAAAAAATAGTTCTGAAAAAGTCTTCATGGAAAGGTAATTTTGTGTATGCAAGGTCAAAATAAAGATAAAGATGAAAACAGTTTCCCTTTGACAGATGCAAGTCCTTTCAAAGTTCATCTGACCTGATTGTCAGTGTACTGTAAGTTAAGAGTCTTTCAGAGGGTTTACAAGAAACACAACAATCAAAAGGTGAAACTGCAAGAAAAATCAAATGACTAACCTTGACAGCAACAGATCCAGAAAGCTTATCCATCTCACCCAGGATCGCAGACAGTAGAGAAGACTTGCCTGCACCAACAACGCCTACAACAGCTACGAGGCTACCCTCCTCTATGTCCAGACTTATGCTAAATAATAAAATACCACAAGAAGGTGTAAGTACACGTAAACACAAATGGTAACAACCAGGTCTTGTTTTTCTATTTAATAAAAAATTTTTTTTTAAATTCTCGTACCACAAAGTTTCTTCTTCTTCTTCACGTACACCGGCTGTAAACTCTGGCAGAAAGTTATTTGTTCAAATCCGAACTTTAGTCTTGTTGCAGAACATCAGTGTTGCATGCACATCTTTTTACAGATCTGCCTCATTTGTATGCAGACTGCTGGTTCCCTGTCTCTCAAGCGGAGCACTCTGACTTCGAAGGAAGCTCCCAATTAGTCGACTCTTACGATGACATACATTTAGGTAGGTAATGAGTCTACTCTTACTACAATAGGGCCCCCGGAACCCACAGGAGGAAACAAAGTGTCTAAAAATGGTGCCTGTGCTCAAAAACAAGTGTATGTAGCAGAGATATATAAAAAAAAATATATATATATAAAAAGTTATAGGTACTGTGTACTGCCAGACTAATTAATAATAATGTGATGGATGATGGTCAACGTCACATCATCTGCTTCTATTTTTCTAGGACATTTCCTGTTCATCATTTCAGGCTCTTTGGATTTGGCAGTACATGAGGCGGGAGAGCTGGCGAGAGACCAAGTTTCTTTCAGGCAGACTGTGATGAGAGCGACGTTCTGCAAAGGACCTTCTACATGATGATGATGATGGATCTGGCCGCCAGGGCCAATTATAAAAATATTGGTGATGATGCAGATTCAAATCAAGACCATCTGGTCAGCAGGCAAGCATGACAAATTTTAACAAAACATAAGCTTTATGTATAATGTTTATAATAAGAGTTGTAATTGTGTAATTATGTATTCATCTAAAATACTTGAAAATATGAGAAACAGTGATAAACATTCAGTTTATAGCAGAACATGAGCAAACAAACTAAAAAACAACAGCAACAAAAACAGTTAAAACTAGAGACATAAAAAAGAAATCTGCAAATTGTTCTTTTAAAACTAGGTTATGCATATTTGATGGCTGTGAAAGCAACACTCTTGAGTTTCTTGTGTTTCTATTCTAGTCATTATTATTACTTTTTTTTTTCACTAACCTCAGGTCAACCCTTCATTACCTAGATAACAGGAAATGTTATGGGAAGTACAGGCACCCAGAATGAATAGTAAAAACATCACTCATCTCTTCTTCTTCACGTTCACTGGCTGTTAACTCCTGTGGGAAGTTCTGGTTGTCTATCCACTTCTGAACTCTGGTCTCATTCTAGAACTTGAGTTTTGCGTTCATATCCATTTTACAGATGTGACTTATTTATGTGCAAAATGCTGGTTCCTCACCTCTTAGGCTGATACACTACTTCGAAACCAACACTGCTAATTAGTCGCTCATACAACATGTTTGCTTGGGGGGAAAAAGTATCTATTCTTTTAGGACTATCCTGTTTTTTTTATTCCACAAAGGCATCCTGGAACTCACACAGGGACATGAAAGATCAAATGCATATTGGTCTGAAAATTTAGGTAAGGCACTATATACTCAATTCACTAAATGCCATCAGAAGCAGAACTGTCTAAACAACATTATGAGACCCTGGGCAAACCAACGTGCGTGCTGGGGGACCCTATGACAGGCACTCACAGAAATGAAAAGTTTATTTATGGCAATTCACTTGACATGCACAGATCAGCATAGGGCGGCTATGCTCATAGGCCCCTGGGCAAGTGCCCAGCTAGCTCATGTGTTGAGATGGGTCCTTTACTTCTATTATTGTCTACAACACTTCCAAATTAGCTTTGGCTTTCAAAGGTAATTACATGTTAATTATTAATATTTTTTTGTTTACAAACAAACAAATATAGATGACAGGAAAAAACTCACTTAGACAGAATGGGATTGCCCTCTTCCCATGCAAAGCTGGCATTTTCAATAACAACAGCTGACTCTGTAACCAAACATGAGGGGTTAAAGACAAAAATGTTGTAACTGAACTGCTTCCATCAGTCCAACACATCTAATTTCAGCAAACAATCAGTTACCTTTCATGGCAATATCAGAAGTTCAACAAATGATTCATGACAATTCCCGCCCAGTGATGTGATTATCTATACAGATGGCTCTGTGTTAAGAGGAAGACGAAGTGCATGGGGGTTCACAGCAAAAGCTAATAGACGTCGTTTGGTGCGACAAAGCCTGGCATATGATTTCACAACATCTAATTTGAGAATGGAGGTGGAGGCAGTCACTGCTGCCTTCCATTGGCTTAATTAGCTGCACATGCATGTCGTAAATGTTACCGACTCACAGAGCAGGTTGAGAAAGGTGGAGACAGGCATGTTCCGTGCAGAGTGGCAAGCATGGCTTCAGAGGTCCTAGATAGTTAGCGTCCTTAGGATATTTTCTCCAGGTCATGCAGGTGCGTTAAGAAATGAGCAGGCAGACAGACTGACCAGTTCTGCACCACTTAGTGATGAACTGATGTATGACAAGCTAGATGTTGTGAGGGTCCTTTAGAAGAGCGCGTGAACAGTGCGAAGGCACAAACAGATCATTACGGTCTGAGGAGAATGGTCCTGTGGGAAGTTAAAAGGGGATCTGGTCGACGCTCAACACTCAAGGGAAAGTGAGACAGATGTACAATGAGACAGTATACCATTAATATGGTACCATCAGAACTGGAACTCTTCGCTTGCTGCTGAAGATGGGGAGGGAGTGCTTATGGGAGTGTCCTGAGTGCTATGATGTCAATCCTTAATTTAACATTTAATATTCATGGCATGCTGCGTAAGTGGCAGTGAGTCTTTTATTTTTCTCCCCCTAAATGAGCCCCGGAACCCAAACAATCATCTCTTATGTCCTATTATTTTTCATATAATCTACTAGACCTCCATTTGCTGGTGTATACTCCGACAATAAACAATCTCTTGAAAGAAGCTTACTTCCAGAGTCCTGCCTGTCCACACAGCCAGGATCCAGTTCTGGGTTATCTAAGAACTTTTGTATCCTCTGCAATGATACATTAGTCTGAAAGTAAAAGTAACAAAATATGGCACATGTTACTGTCACATTCATCATTAACACTGAACTTTACCAAATATGGCTGACAAATTATGAAACTTCTAGAGTCAGTAGATTAAACAATTTCTGCAGCTACTTATTATACTGGAAGCCACATTGGTGTAGCGGCTAGATGCTAGTGGATATGAAGGTGGTGGGTTTAAATTCAGACGGTGCTGGACTGTTATCAAAAAGGACTTTGCCTTCTAGGCCAACCCAGAATGGATACCAGGTAAACGTTGTGTGGAGTAAAGACAGCCGATGTGATGCTGACAACATTACCCACCAAGTGTCAATTAGTTTATCAAATATAGTTCTGGCCCTATATGCTCATACGCCTGAAGGACTGAAAAGGATCCCTTACATACTGAATTATACTCATGAACATGACATGCCTTATGAATTTACTGCATGTGCATACTACAGGATTTTGTCAGGACTGATCTGTTTCACTAGTATTCAAATAGTAATAAGCAGTTTGTGTGGTTTTCACTGGCACAGGACTGGAACAATTAGTGAGTGACTGTTTGCTCTAAGGTTGGAACTGTGACTGATGACTAAGTACTGCATGTAAAACTGGCTAGTAGAACCTCACTACAGCCAATAAATGCTGGGGCTGGTGAGTGACACTCAACGCCACCAGAACTGCACAACCAGCGATAAACACCCGATGACACAAAATTCCACCATTTGGATAAGAATCAACCAGGCACAGGTCCCAGAACCCTGCTGAACCATTAGGTTATGTTAGTGCCCAAGATGACAGCCGGGGAGAGGCTGTAAAAATAACAAAAAAATTGCATCCCATATTGGGGCGAGATTGTTGTTATTAGCTGGGGCTGGTTTGTGAAAACTTGTATAAATGATCTTGGCTAATTGTAGTAATCTCAAATACGTCATATCTAGTTTATATGTAGTACCCTGAAGCTCTGACCTTAACCGGTCAGGGTGAAAGGCCACAAAACTAACACTTCCTGTTGGTACCTTTTCCCTGTAAGAGCCACTTTTCAGACTAGCTACAAACATGTTTACAAAATGTTTAGCTAACTGAATTCATTGTATCTTCATCTGCACAAATGTTGAGCAAGATAAGGTATGACTAAATCTACTAAAGAGCGTTTAGGTTTTCGTCCTTTTTTTAAATGGCTTTATTCAAAGAAAATCTGATATCATATTTTTTCCTATTGGCTACAGCGGTTACCAACTGACTGGGTCACATGCTAAAGTAAGTGTCATGCTGTAATTAGCGTGGTTTTATTTATTTTAGGTCACTGGGGAAAAGGGTTCAGATTGTAACAGAGTCTAGAACCCTGCTTCTTCTTTGTTTACCATCACACTGTTACCGGGTTGTAGCTCAGTGTAGTGGTTTTATGTATTTGTGCTGCATTTCTCGTGTGGCTTGAGTGATGTTTTTGTTCCTACTGTTGCAAGTTTCAGCTACATCATCTATCCATCTCTGCCTTGGTCTTATTCTCATCTTTGCCGTAATGTTCTGCTGTAGGTTTCATATAAAGTTGTTTCTTCGCGTTCACCGGCTGTAAACTCTGGCAGAAAATGTAGGTTATTCGTCAGCCTGTGGATTTTAGTTTTGTTCCAGAACCTGACTGTTGAGTGCATATCTGTTTTATGGACCTGACTTATCTGTATGCAAACTGTTGGTTCCTTACCTCTCAGGCAGATGCACTTCGACTCTGAAGGAAGCCCCAGTTGGTCAACTTTCACGACATGCATGTTGGGGAGGAGGCAGTCGGTCTATTCTTGTTTTTCCCACAATGGGGCCCCGAAACCCACACACAGTTTGACCTGTCTGTATTTTTAACAGATGGCCAAACCACTCTATTCTCTGCTATTGTGTAATACAAGCTGGTTTTCATGTCTAGAAAACTTACCTGTACTAAAGTTGTAATGACATTAGGAACCATGGACAAAGGAAAACGCAGTATGTTGAACAAGGCAAGTGACACAAAAGCCTTTTCTGCATCCAGCACATTGTCGGGAGAGGAAAGTACAAATACGCCAAAGGTGGTCAGTGAAACCTGAAAAGTTAAAGAAAATCACAAAAAATTAATGCTGCATCAACCTGGAAAAACAAATGGCAATGCTTGCATGATTAAATATGCCTCACATGCATATGATGTTTTATAGAGTGATACTAAGTATTTACACAGACATAGATTTAAAAGTAGACATAAATGAATACAGTACCGTATACACAAACCCCATATAACATTCAAACCGTGTGCATATACATACATACAAACATGCACACATAAGTATAGTGTCTCACTCTTGATAATAAACCTTTGCATAAGTAAACTATGTACACAAATATGAATACATAGGCCAGCAGTGTCACACATGTATAAATATTAGGAGCATTTATCTGAAACCCATTTGTGTCCCACTGCAGGTTATTGCATGTGCTGAATTAGATCATGTCATTATCATGTGATAAATAATAAATAATTAATAAAAGAGCAGATGCTTATTGTCCCATGATGCACAGGTTCTGTTTCTGACCACTGAGGAAATAGCCCCGTTGACCAAACATCCATCCAAGAAGCTCGGAGGGATTCCATAGTTTCTTTCATTTGAAAATGTCGACCAGTGTACATTTATTAAAGAATGCAAACATTGTATGGTAAATATGTGTTAAAGATGACAGTGACAAATTGCGCACAAATGTTTCAGAAAGGACACTGCTTTCCTTAATTCTACCACATCAGTTTGTTTCTTTCATGCTTTTGTAATAACTGTTAAAAAAAGAATTATCTCAGTTAATTTGTACACACAATATTTGCAGATGTGAACATGTTAGACAGTATTAAAGCTCTAAGCAAAACATCAACAAGAGATGCCACTGTGCATAGAGGCTAGACATTGTGTGCAGGCTGATGGTCATGGGTTCAAATCTTCAAAATTGACTTTAGCTCTCTGGTTGACCCAGCCTAAAATAGGAACCAGGTAAAGTCATGGGAAGTAAAGGCAGTTGGCAGGACGCTGACCGTATCACCTACTGGTCTTCAAAATACTGGTCTAGCTATATATACTCAATATGCCTAAAGGTGGGGAAACAAGTCCTTTGACAACATCAACAAACTAATCATTTTGAGAACATGAAAGCCTTTGACCATACTTGTTTTTCTTCTTTTGCATTTGCTCTTATAAGGGCCCAACCACCCAATCAGCACAGGATGCATACAGGTTTTTAAAAAATTCAGCACCGTGTGGATTTGAACCGCAGATCTTCAGATCAACAGGCAAGTGTCTAGGCACCACATTAGGCAGCTTCCTAATAAATAAATATTTAAGTGTTTATTAAATGTCTGGTAAGGTCAGTGAGTTCCCCCTCCTCCCAACAGAAAAAAAAGGGTCCTCGAATCCACGCTGGGACTTTGACCATACTAAACACGACATTGAGTTAGAAAGTTCATGAACAGAAGGTATTATTTCAAGAAGAGGCAGGGGTTGACAAGTACAAAGGTGGGCACAGTACACACCTTAGGCATGAAAATACATAAGGGAGAGGAAAGGAAATCAAGAAGAACTTCGGGGCCTTGATTATGATGTTTCTGAGATGCATACTGCAGATACTTTGGACAGACAGACGAATTAACAATGGCTGTCTGGAAATGGCTAATGAAATTAGAAAGCCATATACAACTTTAAGAAAGAGGCAGTCGGTGTTCTTTGATCTTGTGATGAGAAAGAGAAGCATTGGAGAACACTGTGATGACTGAAAAGATCAACAGTAGAAGAGTTGGTATGGTGGAATACATTTAGTGGAGTTTATTCAAAATATCTAGGACCAAGATCCAAGACCTGTGGAGAGACTTGAGTGCCTATGCTAGAGGCAGGGCACACGATGATGATGACGATGATGTGACAGGAACTGAAAGGAGACTGAGTGTCTTTCTGGTAGGCTATGAAGAGACCAACATTCCACAAGAGTCTTGCTACATGCTGCTGCTGCTGACGATCAATACATTAATTTGGACAGCCTGCAAAGCACTTTACCAAATATCATTTACATTACAGGGTTAAAATATTTTTAATATTTCAAACACAAAAATTTACACCCCAAAAAATGGCTACAGAAAAGACATTCTGCTACTTACTAAAACGGGAGCACAACTCCAGAAAAATGCTGTCAATGCATTTAGATAGGCTGCCTTTTTCAATACTTTCAGTTCTTTGTTTCTGATTTCCAGCACTTGGTCCTGGAAAGATTCTTCCCATGCATAGAGTTTTAGAACCTACAGACAGAAGAGTTGCTTTTATACACAGTAGGATTTTCAGTTTCTGTACATTTACAAGACATGGATTATTATCATGGTATTTTTCTTCACAGGTCGACCAAGCTTAAAGTGGCTACCAGGATGTACGTCCTGTGGAAGTAAAGACGGCTGGCGTAATGCAGACTACATTACCCACCTAGTGCCGATTGGTCTGTAAAATATGGGTGCTCCTCCCATATGCCCAATGCACCTAAAGGCGTGAAAAAGGATCTTTACTTCATTTACAAGAACCAGGGAAATAATCTGTTCTGAAGTGTGAGGTCAACTCCTAACTTTACAGGACTGGGTATAAATCATGGTGTGGATTTAGAAAAACACAATCCAAGTAAATCTTACTTCATCTGTTTCTTGGATGGTGGATGAAAAGACTGATATCTATTTGTAATACATTTTACTACAATATGAGAAGGCGGCCACTGTGGTATAGCGGCCACTGTGGTGTAGCGGCCACATGCCTGCAGATCTGAAAGTCACTGGCTCAGATCCTGACAGAGCAAGAATTTTTTTTTTAAAACAACCTTGGCTCCCAGGTCGACCCAGCCTTAAATGGGTACCAGGTACAGTGCTGGGAAGTAAAAGCGGCCAGCATGATGTTGACCACATCACCCACACACAGAGTGTCGACTGGTCTATAAAATATAGGTCTAGCCTTATATGCTCAACACACCAGGTGTGGAAAAGGGTCCTTTATTTTATTTTACAATGTGAGGAGAGAAAACATTCAAAAATGATTACAAGTTAGCATATCACACATTAAACTGTCTTTACTGCCTTCATATACCACTCTTGTCAGGGCAGTGTCATAATCTTTAAAACAGCAACCCACACCAAAAGTTTAGGTATTATGGCCATGCTAAAAGTCTTGGTGGCCTGGACAGGATGGTGACGGAGGGTACAGTTTCCTAAAAATACAGACCTCTGCAAAGGTTGATATAAGACAATGAAGACACACTGGCTATGAAAGCACATAGGGCTGGAGAAAGGGCTACAGAGAGCAAGACTTTCAGGCGTGCCGTGACGAGAGTGACATTCTGTAAAGGTCCTGCTGATTTATGATGACGATGATGGGGAAGGAGGGAAGAGAGTTGTGACCCTGAGGATGTAAGACTGCATGGTTGGTGCACTGGCCACCAGTTTTGCAGGTTACGATTATTATTCCTGCCCTCTGATAGAAAAAAATCTTTAACCCTTGCTGGAGATCAAATCCAAGTTGCATATTCTAACCACTCGGCGAGCTACTCCTCATAAAAAATTAAACACTGAATTTAATTTACACTGTAACCAACAGGTTAGAACTGATTCTCCCCCAACCCCACTATAATATATTTTGTGAAGTGATTCTGTTGAATAGCAGCATCATCATCATGTAGCAGGTCCTTTACAAAACCTTGCTCCTCTCACAGTCTGCCTGAAAGAAACTTTGTCCCTTGCCTGTTGAAACAGAACTCCAAACTATAATCTATTCTAAACACTTACCTTGATACCACTGAGAATCTCATTCATCAGCTTGATTCTGGCATCTTTAAGGAGCATTTGTTCACTCTGTTGTAAAAAATTAAAAATAAAACAGAATTGATGACATTTTGCAGTTCCCTTTCATCATCATCATCAGTGACATGCCAAGCAACACATGCAATCATGTTCCTCTGCTAACATACTTTTTCTTGCTCATGGTAAGTTCAGCTGATGATCATCTTCCTCAACTATTCTGTTAAAATCAATCCAGAAACTTGTTTCTGTCTACCTCTGATCTTACAGGCTGTCAACATCTTCTCAAGACTCTCTAATCTGATAAAGAGATGACAAATTGAATGTTGTCTAGTTCTAATGTGGGTAATTTAATTCTTCTTCCCTTCTTCTTTTACCGATTTGGGTGACAAGGTATATAAGGCTTCTGCTTCTTGCTCTTCCGACAGCCTCAAGCATAGATACATTGCACTGTTGAAAGGTTTCTCTGATGTTGACTTTCCATCTTGTTCTTGGTCTACTTCATGCTCTATGTCCCTCAGTATTGTAACGTATGAGGTAATATGGTCATGGACTGGCTCTTGCAGGAGAGTGTTCCTAAATGTCTACAGAATTCTAAGTATTCTATTGAGAAACAACATCTTGAATTCCATGATGCCAAACCAATATATTATCTCAAGTTTTCTCCTGCCTCTCTTTCCTGGATTATTGGCTGGATTATTTTAATTATCTCCATCAGCTTCTAATTGGTGATTCACCAGAACCTTTTTATCAGCTCCTGACTAGCTGGAACATTTCTAGTTCTCTCCACAAACTCATTGATAATTCACCAAAACTATATTTCATTCTAACTAACTGGAATCTTTCTAGTTATCTACATGAACTTCAAATGTTGTTGCCGTTTCCACCAATGGAGGCTGGCTGCAGTAAATCCATCGCTATCTTTGAGAATATCACATGTCAAGGCCTTAGTCTCTTGCAATTTAAACTCTCGTAACACTGTCCAAAAGTCAGAAGATGGTCATTTTCTAAACGTTCCTAGCAGAACTTGAACGTCACAACATCAAGGATTGTGAAAAATATTCACATCTAAAAGTAGGGGAGGAAGCTGCATGACTTCCACAGTGATAATTCTCTTATATCTTCTTCTTCTTATATTCACCCGTTGTAAATTTCTGGTGGTTGACCCACCTCTGGACTTTAGACTTGTTCCAGAACCTGACTGTTGTGTGTACATCAGTTTACAGATCTGACTTATCAGACTGTTGGTTCCTTGCCTCTCAGGCAGATGCACTCCAACTTCTAATGAAACCCCCAATTAGTCGACTCTTATAACATGCTTTTTAGGAAGGCAGTGAGTCTATTCTTGTTTTTCCCACAATAAGGCCCTGGAACCCACTGGTGATCTCCAGTATAATTTTACACCTAATTCTATTCACCTAATTCACTGTAGGACTCTCCCCCACCCCCCCCCTCCCCCCCAACTTCGATATGGTTGTTGAATGACATACAGGATTCTAGTTCTTAATGTATTTTCTGTAACAATATTTAATCCATCACGGGCTTGCTAGGTCCGTCAAGACTTCAGTGAGCCATCTTCTGCCAAAGCATTTCAGGGTGACCCAGAATGGCGTTCATGACTAGTGTATAGTCGTGTGGCACAAGGACACAGCATATTTGCCGCATCCTAACAATCATTTACTGTGTCCTCTTAACCACCTCTTAGGGTGTGAGCATTAGGTTGGATTCTGAGAGAAGAAAGAGAAGGAAAAGTACTTTTTATCTATTGTTTCCTTGCAGGCACTTAAATTATGCTGTTTACTATATTTCACATTGCCATACACTGCTATAGTCACAATCTGTCCTTCTTCCTTTCCTATCCTTTATCTTGCAATGGAGCACAGGCCCTCAACCAATTTGTGCCATCATGTGCAGTTCAGTGCATGTTCTCTTCATATCTACCTACTCATTTTATATTCTTTTCTATGGCTTTTTAAGAGAAGGGTGAGGAGGGGGGGAGGAGGGAGGGGGTGTTTGCCTTTATTTCTTTGACTCTCTGGATTCCAGAACAAGGACCTTGCAATTATACTGTTATCACAGAAACAGACTGGAAAAACAACACTGGTTATGACTACGGAAAAGATTTTCTGAGGCACTTGAACAGAACAGACCAAGTCACAGTTTTTCGCTTACGCGCTGGACACTGCAGACTCAATAAACACTCATATAAATTAGGTATGAGCCAAACAGCTCTCTGCCAGTGTCTTCGTGCTGAACAGACTCCAGAACATGTCCTGCAAGACTGTCCTCTCCTGGCGGAGCTGCGGAGCGACATATGGCAACACCCAGTAGAACTGACAACTAAGCTTTGGGGAAACCTAAGAGACCTTGAAAAGACATCCCAGTTTATGACCCACAGTGGATTATGCGCATGACCAGAGATCGCTGAAGAAGAAGAAGATACTGTTATCAGGACTTCTCAGTGGGTGAATCCAGCGAATCCACTACAATTTTAGTTTCTCCCAGTGCACCAAATTAGTGATTCTGTCATATTTAACTTCCTCTAATCTGCAGATACCAGTTAAGAAATTTGTACAGTTTATTACTACAGTAAACTGTGGCAGACAATTCAAGTTTTTAAGCCTCAAAATGTGTCTAAAACTAAAGGTCAGCTTATATGGCATGTATAAAATGTGTTAGGTTAGTATAGGCCTAACTAGGAATTCTGAGCTAAAAAAAAAAATCTTGAGTTTGACTTGTACAGCAGGTAGACTTGTACACCACAATTTATGGTAACTATTTTAGTCATTCTTCATGCTTAAGATCCATACAGCAGTACTGATTTAACATCTGAGCTAAACATTCTGAATTTGTTTCTAGTTGCATTATCTTTCCTCCTTACCTGATATTTTTTAATCTTGTGAGCTATGAGGGCATTGATAGGGATAAGCAACACCATGACAGCTATGCCAGCCAGGGCTGATGGACCCAATGTCTGCCACAGAAAATACAGTGACAGGCTGATCTGGAGAGGGCCTGACCAGATCATGTGCATGTAGGTGGTCAGATCCATGAACCTCTGGGCATCAACTGACATGAGATTAACTATCTCTCCAACTGTGGATGTCTTCTTGGCTGAGCTTGATAACCGGAGGGTCTGTCACAGAATTAACAGCATTAGTTTTAATACAATACAGCAGGGCTTTATTTCCGTATTTCTGGCAGTACACGATGGTAAATGGGTACCAGCACCTTTTTTTTAAAGGCTACTGTAAAAGAAGCGGGTCGCAGTGGAGTTGTCGGCTAGATGCCTGCCTGCAGATCTGAAGGTTGTGGGTTGCATCCTGATGGAGCAGGACTTATTTCCAAAAATGACCCTGACTCCCAGGTTGACCAAGCCTTGAGTGGGTACCAGGTGCAATCCTAAGAAGCGAAGGCGGCCAGTGTGATGCTGACCACATCACCCACCAAGTGCCGATTGGTCTATAAAAATGTAGGCCTAGTTCTACATTTCTATTAGGCCTAAAGGCATGGAAAAGGGACCTTTACTCTACTTACTGTAAAAGAAGTCACTATGTGGTGCATTTCAATTCTTTTTTTTTTTTTAAAGCTGTTATTATGTATCCAATTTCTAGTTTACATGCTCTGCAACAGATAATGCCCAGCCTTGTGTGTGTGTGTGTGTGTGTGCACACGTGTGCGTGTGCTGAAGTGCTGAAAATCTATCTATAAGAATATATTTTCACAGGCATATTTTCTCTCTGCATGGATTCCAAACCACTATTGGCGGGGGCCAGGAGTGGAAGCAGACCCACTGTCCCTTAAAAAAAAACAAGCTATGAAAAAAAAGAAGAAGAAGAAAGAGACTAATTAACAATTTGTTGGGTTGAACATCACAGATATCACAGCCTAGCTGCAGACTACAAAACAACATGCCTACTACCCTTTAAATATGAAGAAGAAGATGGAGGCTTTCACTGATTTGAACCTGAAGTTATGTCTGGAAATGCGCAAAAGTGCAGTGGCAGATGCTATCAGGATGGAAATACTAACTGTTCTATAACAGTGTGTGTGTGAATGTTTACAGTGACTGTGTTCTCAAGCAAATTTTCATGCATTCAAAATCACTGCTATTCAGACACATCCCTATATTTTCATTCTCCTGAAATATTTAAATCAAGCAGGTGCTGATTCCACAATAAAGACTGGCTGAAAGAATCTTCAAATCTCTGTTCCTGTTCATACACTCCGACTTTGCTGCTGCTGCTGTTCATTCATCTCCTGCAATCTTCCCAAATCTACTATTTTCTACCTCTTGTCCCCCTATCTGTATACTTTTTACCAACTACTTGAGTGGCACTGAAGAAATTCTGCAATCAAACCTTTCACCTTCTTCTTCTTCTTAATGGTAATCATCGCTGGCTGGACCTATGAAGTTTGTGCTATGTGCGATGCTCTTGGCTGGTGGTTAGCCCCTTTTGTAGACAGAGACTGATCCAAATAGGATCAAACCCAGTAAAATGAGGTCGATCCTCTCAACTTTACAACTTTTAACAGCCTTCACTGCTCAGTGCAGAGTGGCAAGTATCACTTCGGAGGTTCCGGGTAGTTAGCATCCTTTGGATATTTTCTCCAGGTCATGCCCGTGTGCTTGAAAATGAGCAGGCAGATAGACTGGCCAGTTCTGCACCATTTGGTGGTGAATTGATGTATGACAAGCTAGATGTTGTGAGGGCCCTTTGAGAGCGAGTGAACATGCGGAGACACCGACAGATCATTAAGGTCAGAAGAGAATGGCGTTGCGAGGAGTTACCAGGGGATCTGGCCGCCACTTAACACCCAAGGAAAATGCGAGAGGGATATACAGTCAGAGTTACTGGTGCCATCAGAATTGGAATTCTTTGTGTGCTGGCTGAAGATGGAGGACAGAGTCCTTATGGGAGTGTCCTGAGTGTGTTGACGTTGATTCGTAATTCAACATTTAACTGCTCAGTGAGGCACACATGATGATGATCAATGAAATATTGCTGTGTAGTTACCAAAGAACAAACCCCACACTTACTTTTCTGTAGACCACTGCAATAATTGTAGATCTCAGCCTCATGCCTAAGAGAAAGGTGCAGTGAAAGTACTGGTGCAGCAATATGGACTGAAGCAATGCAACAATCAACAGCAGAGATGAGTAGAAGTACCCACGCCAGGTGTACTCATCTGAGCTTGTGAACTGTATTAGAAATCTGTGCACAAGAAATGAAAGCTCCCAATTATGTTATTACAGGGTCTCCGAGATTTACGGCCGAGTTCTATTTCACAAAACCGGTCATTCAAATGGGTTATTAAAAAACTACATTAAACATACAAATTCATTTGTGTGCATAATTGTTGTACATAATGTGAAAAATACATAACATGTACTCTATGCATCACTTAGTGGAGCTTTTGACCCTACATTGTTATCTATGTTTATTTACTATATTCAATTTCGTTTTATTTTGTGTGTGTGGTCACAAGAGTGGAGGGTCATAAGTCACACAGATGACACAGATCATAGGTCGTGAAAAAGGCACTGTTTTTAAGGCTGCCTTTTTTTTTTAATGTTGATAAACAAATCAACTGTATTGACTGGCATTAATGAGTCAAAGTGCAACTGTTCCAACAGCAAGGTGACATTGTCTGGAGGTGACAGGTTCATGTCCTGGTAAGGTAACTAGCTTTTGATTTTATGCTGTCTATCTAGTGTGTCTGAAAAAGAGTAATGAAGATGTCTTGAAAGAAAAATGACTGACGAAGAAAACTGATTGCCCACATCAGAAGGAGACAATCTACATTGTTTTGTAGTCTTAGTGGAGGTTTCAACTTCACTGCAATCAGGTTCTCTCATATGTGCTTTGTTATTGTGCCAGTGAAAATCAAATGAAATGTCCCTCACTGTCCCATCTCAAAAACATTCTTTTGGAAATATCACAAGAAAGAGAAAACTGGAGTACCTTGTGATAGTGGAAAAGATGGAGGGGAAAGAGGCAGAGGGAGACTGAAAGATAAGGTGCTGAACAGTTTGACATCATGGCATGGAAGGTCATCTAACGTCAGAAATTATTGAAACGCATGAGACAGAAGGTTGTGGATATATATGATTACCAAACACCAAATGGCATGGACAAAGATAGAAACAGGGCTTATCATGAGGAAAAGCAGTCAGATAATAACTTAACATATACTGAAATAGGAAACAAACAGATTAAGCAAACAAATATGTCCAAAAAGAAATCTAAGATAAGTATTGCTGAGAGAGGCCAGGGTTGCTAGATTGTATTCCATCCATGGCGAAAGATAGAACTGGATGAAGGACTAGACAGCACAACAAGATGATGGCAATGATGACAAAATATTAACACATCACAGAATCTTTTATGTGCATGATATCATCAAAGTCCTGTATTTGAATCCACACTACATATTTTATTTTAACTCACCCCAGCTTTCAGGTCACCCCAGCCTATAATTGGTACTAGAAAATGTGCTGGAAAGTAAAAAATCAACTAATGTGATGATGAACAAATCACCCATCGAGAACCAACTGGTCTATAAAAAATATGGATCTAACACCAAATGCTCTGAACAGTAATGGCATATAAAGCATCCTTAACTGTCGAATGGTGGCCTGATTCCTCTCCTAACAAACTGTTTGAGGGATCCACTACTCAATGGAGGCAAACAGTTGGGTTGGTGGCCTGAGTAGTGGTCTGGGGAGTTGTCCCTGGTTCTGCAATAACCAACTGACACCGCCCTTGGGACAAGAAGACTTGAGACTTTGGCAACTATTTATTGTGTTCTTGTATTGCACTAGCTAGATTTGTTTACATGGATTCTAAAACTCAGTAAGGAGACATTGACATTCACCTATATTGTTCCCCTCATTTTGCATGCTTAACACATTATTCGCATTTCTCACCTGAGCAGCTGAGGGCTAACAAAAGATAGAAGATCCTGTGCTAACTTAAATACTGCTGCCTGCAGGAAGAAACAAATGTAGGTGCGCACTAGTGCAGACAATAGTTTGCGTTTGGGTGTTTTCCCATCTTCCATGCCAACAGCATAGGTCGTCAGGATAGCACTGCCTTCCCGAAATATAAAACTGGTCTCCTGGACATCTCCGTTAGCAACAGCACTCACAGGTCTGAAACAGGAAGTTATGCATGTGTCAAAACAAAGACAATTATAGCCCTTATTTTCCTTCTATACCCACAGAAATGAGTCAGAATATATACTTAAGATAGTAATAAAATATGGATGTCAACATCTGAATGGTGTGATCTGGAACTGGATAAGCATAGGCTGCAAGTTCTATGATGATCTCTGGGTAGCAAATTAAATGCCTAGCCATCTTGGACAAAGAGGGGAAAAATGATTGGAGATCCGTTTTGCAAGATTCAAATGTTAAAAATCCCTCTGAAGAAAATTACAAAGTGAAGGTGGCCTTGTTATATTTCAAAATGATAAAACACCTTGCCTACAATAGTACAAATAATTCTGATGTATACTCACTAGAATCCTGACCAACAGTACTGATTTCATGTGAGCTGAGTTTCTGTTAATATGTCATTTAAAAAGTGAGGTGGCTGGATCACCTAATGGATATCTTCCAATGCACTGAAGATGGTCTGAACTTAATCAATACTTCAATCATTCCATCTTCAGTTCAGATATTGTCAGTTCTTCAGCAAATGCTCACTTGCCATGTGATCTGTTCCATGATTAAAACGCCAGTGGTAACTATCTCACCACAAAGCAAGTTACAATATACTGCTTCAACTAGCATTTCTTTAGACTTGTTTTTCCTAGCCTTTGACTGTTTCCAATCTAAGTGTGATACAAAAAGTGTGTATACATCTGTCTTGTTCCTCTCCATGACCTATTAGAACATGCAAGCCCTTCTAGGAGGCACATCAGAGGGGTCAACTGTTCTACTGAATGTATCCACATTTCTTGGTCAGATGTAAAGTATTAAGTTTTTTGCTCTGTTGTTTGAAGTTTTGATGTGCATATGCTAGGATTATACTCCTTTTCTATGCCCTTCTTTTGAGAAGAAATATTCAGAAATCAAAAAGATGTATTTTGCAGTAACGTGAGAAAATCTATACAGTATTAAGAAAATTAAAAACAATTGGTTATGGATCATACAATAAAAGCAACAGAAAACAAAAGAAAATTGTATTTAAAAATCAAAATAATAAGAAAAGCTGTGAAGATTCATACAACAAATAATAGACAATAACTAATAAATTTATCAGATTTTAAAACAAAATATTAAAAAGGATAGAGATACTGTTAAATTATTGCCACATACACTGTTTGCTTTCTTAAATTCCAATGTTTGTAAAACTTTTGAGCAACATATTCAGCAGTGTCTTCTCTATTTAGGAACCACAGGTCAGCCTGAGTGAGGGCTCTTTTGTAGCCTTGGATCACCATCCTAGAAAACAAGAGTTATAAGCAATGTTTATGTAGATATCAAAACAATATCTGATGTTCCTATGCAGTAAAACAAATATAATTTAACATTGGTATGTGAAATATTAAACTTTAGCATGAACTTATTACATGTACTGTGAAAAGTGTTTGTTAGAATTTATTTGTGACATTTTTACATGCAATTTTGTGACATTCAGTGGCTCTAATGTAAATGTTTATGTGGTGAAAAAAACATAAGTTTGCACATGTCAAATGTTCATACCAATTGCACATTTCCATATTAAACAAAACATGTTTGTTTGTCAGCAATGTTAAGGATGAATCTTACCCGGTAAACCACCAAAATGTGATCCGAGATAAAAAAGAAGATTCTTTTTCTGGACAGGCATTCTGAAAATAAGCCAATACTTCAAATAAGCTTAAATTATTATTTTTCAACTTAATGTGAGCAAGTCAACATCTGTTGCTAAGGGGTTACTGTTACACATTGAACAATTACCAGTAAAGCAGGTTGTCTCTGGTTTTAGCTAAAGAATTATAGAGAAAATACTGTAGGGCAAAATTCAAGTGAAAAGAAAAAGGAACGTCCATAGAACAATTATATGACACAGATTTGCAAGGATATAGGGGTTCAGACTCGTGCAGAGCTAAAGAGAACCACTGAGAACAAGAGCCAGCAGAAGTGACATTAAAAGAGACAGCAGAAGTGACATTCAAAAGAAAAATTATGTGCCCTCTATGCAATGAAAGTTACCCTCAGTTCTCCCATTGCTGCCTTTGGGAATATTGTATGGTAAGGCCTCAGTCTCTTCCACAATGTGACTCTGTACAGTACTATCCAAAAATCAGAATTTTTTTTTTTTAAATAGTCCATCCAGTTGCAAATCAAGCCCTAGTATTTGAGCATCATGAAACTGTTAAATGCCTTCGCTAACCTCTAGGCCAAAAGGCTGTATGACTGCCATAATTAGAGGACTTCCGCAAAAGTCTTACGATTAACTAACTTGTTGATAATTATGATATTTATTACAAGACTCAATACTGACCTCTCCTTCTAGCTGGTACTGATACTCTGGCTTGTCATCAACTAGCACAGAAAGGATGGTTGCAAACACCAAGCATGGATATACAACAAACAATGATGGCGAAACCTTGCCCTGCAACATAGAGACACATTTTTTTAATTATTTCCAGTTATCAAATTAATGTTCTTCTTCAGTGTTCACCCTTAAAAGGGTGGTTGACACATTGTGTTGTTGTTTACAGCTAGGCTGTGATATGTACATCTTTCATCTCAACACATCTGATTTCAACAAACCCTCAAATGAGAAATGCAATTTCAGAGTCAGAATTGCAGGAAATTTTGCTCCTCTGATTATTAATATGAACAATCCAGAAATACTAACAAATGAGGGGAACAAATGAATTCACCAAAATAAGGAATGAAACAACATAAGAAATTCTTAGGATACACAAAAAACCATAATAACCATGAGTCACTCAGGAAATTCTCAACATGTGTGACCAGCCAAGGTACCCCAAGAAACAAAGGCACAACCCCCAACTAGCAGACAAGTATAAAGAGATAAATATTCAGATTAGAAAAGACACGCTAGAGGCAAAAGAAAGTTGGATAGAAAGCAAATATGCAGAAAAATAAGAATGTAGTATGTCGAACAACAGAAAAAAAGCTTTTCGCATTATTTTAAACGTCAATCTAGAGAATTCATCAAGAAGTAACACCATCCAAGACACAGAAGGTAATCTACTCAAAGAAAGTAATGACATCCTAAATAGATAGCCTGAATACTATTTTAGCCTGTATAATGAACAAAAAATAGCAACACCGACATCCTTGACAACAATTAAGCACAGAAAAATGACAGCATCCCAATTCTCTGGCTGGGACAAAGTAAAAATGGCCACACACACACACACACACAAAAGCTGGTGGAATTGACAATATCCCAGCTGCGATCCTCAAGGTGGGGAGACAGGACGTCATCAACATCCTCACTTAAATCTGTAACAAAATTTGGGAGACTAGTGAATGGCCATCTCTTTGGAACAAATCACTCATCATTACCATTCCCAAAAAAGTGGAATTTACAATGTCAAAATCATAGGACTGTAAGTCTCATTAGACATCCCATTATAGTCATACTCAAGATACTCCTAAACAGATTAAAGCTATATACAGAAAAGATCACAGAGAAACAGGCAGGTTTCCATGCTGAAAGAAGTAATTTTGAACAGATATTTAATCTATGAATATTATCAGAGCAATACCACCAGCAACAAAAACATCTATACTATGTTTTCATTGATTTCCAAAAGGCTTTTGATATAGTATGGCATGCAGCACTTTGAGAAACTAAGAAAAAGTACAATATGGGTAAATCCCTCAAACGTAGTACAGAACAGTTTTATGCCAAGGCCAGTAGTGCTGTCACGCTGAATGGACAAATAGGGAGCTGGTTCCGAACAACAGTAAGAGTCCGTCAGGGCTGCCTCCTCTCCCCAACACTGTTTAATATCTTCTTAGAAAGAATTATGACTGACGTCCTAGAACAACATAGTGCAACAGTTAGTATAAAAAGCAGAACTATAGTAAACTTAAGGAAATTTGCAGATGACATTGATGGGTTGGCCTGGGAAGAACAAAAGCTAAACGAGCTTGTAAATCTGCTCGAGGAAACATCGATCAAGTATGACAAAAATAATGACTAATAATCCAGTTGGCATAATTTCACCAATGTAGGTTAAAGGTAAAAAATTAGAACAAGTCAATCATTTCAAATATTTAGGATTCATTTTAAGTGACCTAGGGTCAAGACCAGAAATCTTATCTAGGACTTCCCAGACAAGATCAGTCCTTGCCAAACAGCAAACATTATAGAGATCCAAAAATATTTCTTGCAAAACTAAGATTTGATTGCTCAGAGCACTAGCTATTAGTACTTTTACATATGGCTCTGAAACGTGGACCTTAACAGCTGAACTGGAAAGGAAGATATAAGCAGTGGAAATGCAATGTTTCAGAAAAGTTTTTGGCATATCATATAGAGACCACTTTACAAACGAAGAGGTTCGCCATTTAATTGTACCGCAAATTGGCGACTATGAACCTCTTTTAACTACAGTGAAAAGGTGACATATGCAATGGTATGGACATGTAATAAGATCTAATGGCCTCTAACAAACAATACTGCAAGGCTCAGTAGAGGAAAAGAGGAGAAGAGGCAAACCAAGAAAGACCTGGTTACAAAACCTGACTGACTGGACAGGCCTCAGGCATGCAATCATGAAGTTCATCGCAACTGATCGAAAAAGATGGAGTGAGCTGATCAAACAGTCAAATGAAACTGGTGACCCAATGACACACAGTGTTACAGAATGATGATGATGATGACATGCCCAAAAAATAATTTTTCAAAGAAACAATATAATACAGGCATGAGATGTACACTATTTACCAAATAAAACAAAATGCTGCTTGAATTGTAGGCAGTGCACACCACAGCCTTAGAATTAGCAAGATGAAAGAGCTTACATGGAAGCAAATTAGCTGTTGATGGTCCTAGATAGGGCCTTACTTTCTAGTGGCATGCAATGGTATGCAGTTCCGTCACCCCTTTTTTTTTGCCTTACTGTAATAAATACTTTGCAGTTGGTACCAGTACTTTTTTGTGTGGTTTTTTTTCTTCTGATTTGTGGTGATTACGGTACCTTTTAAGCTAAACAAAAAAAGCTCTCATTCTAAATATAACAAGAATAGGTTACAGGGTCTATCTTTAGGATACATCATCATCATACTGAACTGTCCAATAACCGGGACGACTCCTGACAACTACTACAGCGAGGTATATTTACTTATCAGAATTATCAGTGCTTTTTTTAGTTCATGTTCAGTTGAGATTGTCATCACTGTACTCTGGACATGTCCAAAGGTGCCTCAATCTCCTCCATAGTAAATCTATCAGCATGCAGGAACTGTGCCCAACATATGTTGATTAATGAGCCTCCTACCTCAGTTGGTGCATTGTTTCTTCCTGGTCACACTTATCTTCAACCCTGTTTATGTCAGGATTTTTTAGAAAAAAATAAATACTGGCATTCTACAAGACATGAACATAAAAGAAACCTGGCTCATAGGTAAAAAGATGTCATCGAAACTGAAAAGCCTGGCCAAATTAAGCACTCAAGTGTTTTAGAAAGAATACTTAAAGATACTAATTCTGGAAGAGAGGTACAGGTTTACCAACATCAAGATGGACACACAATGTGAAAGGAATCTTGTATGTGAAAATAATGAAACAATGGAATTATCAAGAGGCTGAGAGGCTGTCAGAGGGTCTACGACTGAAGCGACAGGCCAAACAGAACCTGATGATGATGTTTTAGTTTATGTTATGAGTTACTTACCGTATTAATAGCTTTCCTAATTTCTGAGCGCAACAAGATAATTCCACATAACAAATACAAGATCCAAAACACTGCAAGGACACCAGATGATCTGACACCTCGCTTCCGCTCCAAGTTGATGAGAAGTGCTACAAGAACCTGCAAGCATACATTTGGACGTTATATTACTTCACTAAAAGTCAGCAATAATTGAAAAAAGTAAAAAACAAAACAATGCTGTCAACGTGTTCACAAAATTCTAGTATTCATTTCAAAACACCATTTTGGGTAATCAAAGTATTTAAAAAATGCTGAATTATTTCACAGCTTGTACCAGATTAGTACATTTCTGAACCACACAGTGTTGTTTCCATGTTGCACAACCTGTTTAGTACTTTCACATTTCCAGGAGTTTGATGTTATCACTACTATACTTCTTCTTCTTAGTGTTCACAGGCTGTAAACTCTAGCAGAACATTCTCGCTGTTCATCCACTACACTAAAGGAGTTTTGCACGAACATTCATTTTACAGATCTGGCTTATACTATGCAGACTGTTGGTTCCTTGCCTCTCAGGTAAATACACATTGCTAAAATTGTATTATTCTACTTCTGCATTAGCATTTAAATGGGCAGCTGGCAGGCTGTGCCGTGATTTACAGCCAGGCTGTGAAATCTGTGCCTTTCAGCCCATTATCTCTGATTTAGCAAATTCTTTATTTGTTGCCTTTACGGCATGCTTGTTAAGAAACAGTGGTTCTATTCTCCTCCTTCCACCCCCCCCCCCCCCCCCCCCCCCCCCCACCCATATGGAGAACTTATACTCTTAAACACTGTTTACATAAGATGAATTGTTTGCTTTAAGTAAACAGATTTTTAAAAAACATACATTAGTGCCTGTATTTACCACTTCTGCAGTGGTGTGGAAGGGTGTCTTTGAATGAGGATTTAGGGCCACATGGCCAGTGTTATTCCCGCAGACTGTGCAGATTAGGAATTTACTTTTACCCCTGACAGGAAAAAAATCTGCAACCTTACTGAGGATCTGAAATGAGTCTTCCACATGGAAGCTTATCATTCCTAAATGTTTCGGCCAGACGCTACTAAAACAAAAACAGATATTAGAATGAATAAACATATGTGTTACACACTTAGGAAACCCACCATTGTTAAAGCAACAGCAAGCGGTGACAGGAACTCTATGTGAGGTTCATCTTCTCCAACAGCAGTTAATGCAATAACAACAATTAATTCATACATGGCAAATGAAAAGAGGACACCAGTCACAACCTGGAAAAAAAAACAGCACACATTATCATCATTCTCCCTATGACTTGTTCTTCTTTCGTTTGCTTGAAATAGATTATCTCTAGTATGAACTTCACTGTCTTTTGTAATTTATTCAGCAATCAATAAAGTTTGACTTGCACCAGTGTTTCTCTTGGCCAAATGTTTTGCCTTGATATCTTCTTCTTCATTCATTTGCTTGAAATAGATTATCTATATCTTCAGTGTTGTCTCTAGTATGAACTTCACTGTCTTTTGTAATTTATTCAGCAACCAATAAAGTTTGACTTGCACAAGTGTTTCTCTTGGCCAAATGTTTTGCCTTGATATCTTCTTCTTATTCTTTTATTCACTTTAAATAGATTATCTATATCTTCAGTGTTGTCTCTAGTATGAACTTCACTGTCTTTTGTAATTCATTCAGCGACCCATAAAGTTTGACTTGCACCGGTGTTTCTCTTGGCCA